TGTGCTATCCAGGTCATGTTTTAACCCATTTCTTCCTTCCTTTCCCCTCGTGGGAAGCATGTTCCCGGGCGTTCTGCTCCTGACCCGGTTAGCAGCGCGCTGGATGCGAAGGTGCTTGGAGTAGGTGCTGCCACTGCGCCTTGCCGGTGTGGCTGGCAGTGGAAAGCAGGACATGACCCTGCTGCGTGCTTGCAAACCATGAGCTCCCCTCTAACACCAGGATCCCATTTGCATGTTAAAGCAAAACGCAGCAGGGGGGCAGCTGGAAGCGTTATGGATAGCTGTGTTCTTGGAGGAGTATGCTGGGAGGGAGAGCTTGGATTTAATTGGAGAGGGGAATACAAAGTGGCCTTGTTAGCGGTGCCCTGCTCCTTCTCGCCGCCCTCCGCTGCTGCATGCAGCGCTAGCAGAGAGCAGCGCATGCAGCCACTGGCACACAGGAGGCGAACGGCCCCGGCTGTGTATGCACCAGGCTGGAGAGAAAGTCCAGCTGGAAGCAAAGCTGACATGTCCAAGTGAGGCCAAGGACAATCGCTGACAGCAGCAGGGCTGGAGGAAAAGCAGCCCAGCTCTGCTGATTGCAGACGTGGCCGAGGTAACGAGCGTCTGTGCCGAGATGGTCCCAGCTTGGCAGAGCCCGGGGAGACATCGCGGGCTCCCTCCAGCTGGCTCGAAGGCAGAGCTGGGAGCAGGCAGGGCTGCCTGCTCCTCGCCCGCCTCTCCCCGCTGCCCGCTTTGCTTCTGGCTGCTCCCTGGCAGATGCAGAAGTTGGGGCTTCTGAGCAGGCCAAGTGTCGCCTTGCTCAGGGCGTGAGAGTGCCGCTGCCGGTCCTGTGACTGGGTCCGTGCCAGGCACAGGGTGGAGAAGGGACCTCGGCTTGGGCTCCAGCTGCAGCTGGGACGAGGGACTCCATCCTGCCCCGGATGCGTGGCTGGCCACCCACTGGGGAGCCCTCGGCACCTCCAGGGGACAGGGCCTGGTGGAGATGTTTTCTTATGCATCTTCACAGGAACATGTTGATATTTGTGCCTGTTATCCAAGGGACTGAGCAAATGTCAGGACCCTGACTGTGTGTCCCCATTAATGCTTGTGCAAAAGGTGACGCATAATGCACCATCTGCGTCTGACCTCCCCGATGCACAGACCTGCGAGCCGCTCAGCGCGGGGCCCACGCTGGGGGTGCACAGGAGAGCAGCTGGAGGGCTGCACCCTGATGCGGTGGCGTTATTCTGAACGCATGCAGAAG